TCCCAATCATCTATTAATTTGACTTTTAGTGACTCTGGTAGTAGTATCTTGATTTCGAGACGGTTCATGAATTCTTCCTCCTAAATTAATAAATAATATTACATTAAACTACGAGTAAAAGCTTTTATGAAAATAATCTAATAATGATGATCCAATTACTAACTTCATCTTCATCTTCATTAATTTTTTTTCTTTTTTTCCCGCGTTCTTGATTTTCTCTCTGTAGTTGATCCTCCTGTGATTCTGTGTCATTCCTATCTTCACTGTCTGTTTCTTCTGAGATAATTTGTTAATTCGAAAGCCCTTTGATCCTTGTTCAACATTTTTTTGTCAATTATGAATTGAACTTTACTTACCTCCCTGATGTTTTAGCGAGCTTTCCGAGAAATCACTTCCTTTATTTTGTTCCTCAATTTTATAAATTGTTTTTGCCGGTTTCTTTTTTTTATTTGAATATGTGTCTTTAAGTTGTTTCTGTCTAATTAAATTTGCTTCGTTGTGTTTTACTACTCTTTCTTCCGGAACCCATTCATCCCATCTATTAAAATATTAGAAATTAATCTCGCGACAAATCTCCAAAACGCGTTTAAACGCGAAATTTTACGTACGTTTTCTTCCAGCCTTTGTAATGTACATAATAGTGTGGACCAGTGTCACCAGAATCTGAATCATTGGGGCCCCAGTTTTCAGCTTTTAGGATCTATAATTTTAATCAGCTATACGTAAATTATGATAAGGAACAAATAATTTAGAACTATTTCGACTATACCTTGGCCTCATAAAGCAAAGGACCATGAAAGCACAAAACAAGTTCATTCTGTTCAAAATTTAGCTTTTGATCGGGAATTTCAGCGTCAGCCATGTGAATTAGTTATTTTAGAATTGAAACTCTAACGCAAGATAGAAAAGATTATTAAATTATGTATTAAATATACCCTTGGAGATAGATGTTGCATGACGACGATCAGAGGTAACAAATTCAGGGGTTAAAATGTACAATAAAAAAGCTTGATCGAATTTCAGCTTGATTTCTCTCTCTCTCCCTGTTCTCTTTGCCAGTATGCTCGCTTTTCAAGTTCCTTGATGTTCTTGTTTTTTGCAGTTCAAGATTCTTTCATATTTTCGAAATTTTTTCCGTCGTGTAAGTTTTTCTCACATTTTCCGTATTCAACTTAGCCGTGTTTTTTCTTGTCCACCTCCGTGAATTTGCTTTGCGTTTGAACGTATCCAATGACTTATTAGCCGTTCTTGAGCATTAGATGTCTCGCCTGAAGCCAGGGATTCCTAATATTTCGGATTTAGAAAACTTTGATTTGCTTTTTTGCTGCTTCCGACATGCTATACTGAAATTTTGCTTATAATCTTGCCTGGTCTACATAATTTTTTTCTTTATATACAGTGATTTCCATAATTATTGTACCACTTCAATTATAATTTTTAGATCGTGATACCTGAATAATTAAAGTAACCATATAACTAAAATTTTAATCCAATTTAAAGCCTGTAATCGGATTTTTTAATGTATTTAAATTTGAGTATTACTTAATTTGTGGCTTTTTTAAAAATTTCTTTATATGCAATTTTTTCGTGATACAATACTTTTGACAATCAAAATTAATATAATAAAGTTATGAACGTGCGACGCGTCTTATACATATAAATAAATTTAAATCAGTAAATCAATGTGACGCCCTTCTTGTTTTTTTTTTTTTTTTTTTTTTTTTTAAAAAAATGTATTATGAAGGCGATTTCACTTCACCAAAGGGAACGTATTTTTTCCCTTATCCAAGAAGGTTTACCAAGTCATACAATTGCTTCTCGCGAAAATATAAGTCATGCTTCTGTAATAAGAATCAAACAACAAAAAGAAGAAACAAGCAGCTTTGATGTTATTTCAAAACCAGGCCGCCTAAGAATACTTATAGAGGAATATTGACAGGTTTATTAAGTCGGGTGAATGTACAAATGCTATTCAAATTCAAAAATCTTTAATTTTCAACAAAAATATTATTATTTCACCAAATACTATTCAACGCTCATTGAAAAGACAAGGTCTTGTAACTAAAGTTAAAAAAACCCATTGTTTCTTAAGAGATATAGAAAAGCCTAAAAAATTTGCTCAAAAAAATATAAGAATTGGATTATAGAAGATTGGCGAAAAGTATATGATCAGATAAGAGTAAATTCTTAATTTTTGGTTCATATAGTATTAGAAAAACAAATTTATCTTTGCAACCACAGCATATTAAACTAACTATAAAGTTTGACGGAGGTTCAATATTGTAAAATTGATGAAAGAATGAATAGAGAGCTATATAGGGAAATTTTGGAAGATAAGTTTTTAGAAATTCTTAACGTGTGTAATTTGAATGTAAATAATATCATTTCTAACAGAATAATGATCCAAAACATATACAAAAGAAAACATATGAATGGTTTGATAATAATAATATTGAAATTTTATATTGACCAACATAATCATCAGACCTAACCCCATTGAACATTTGTGAAATGAAATTGATCGTCATTTGCAATAGTTTTCTAATAATATTACTAGTACAGAAGATTTATGAAATAAGATACAATTAGTATAGAATCAAATTAATATTAATTTTTTTTAAAGCTAATTGATATTATATCATAATAAGTTAAAAACATATTTAAGGCTAATAGGAATATACAAGATGGTAATAGTATTATTAAAAAAATGTTAAAGCATAGTTTGTTAAAAAAATTTGAAACATAAATTAAATCTTTTAATCATATTTCTAGTACTAACTTGTGTATTTATAAATAAGTAAAAATAATTATTAATTAACCTAAATATAATGACAGATATGTACTTTTCACATGAATTATCCTAATTTATTTCAAAAATTCAATTATTAATTAGTTAGATTTTAATAAAAAATAATCAATACTAAATAAAGTTATTATTTTTCTATATAGTAATGTTTTATAATAAGAATATAGCTCTATAAAGCAAAACCTAAAGGAATATTTATTAGTCATCATTAATATCTCTATTTGTGTATCAAAATTTTTACATTTGTATATTTCTGATTCTTCAATTTCTGAATGTTTTCATACTAACTACATGTTTTTAATCAGAAAAATTTACAAAGATAAATAAAAATGTAAAATACATATAAACTAAAAAAAAGGAATAATAATGGCAGATAGTAAACTAATTATAAAAAAATGAAAAGAATTATTAAAAAGACAAAAAATCAAAAATGATATTAATAACAAATAATATATTATCAAAAATAACTTATAAAAAATTTAAATATATATATTAAATTACAATTAGCTATCATTATTAATAAGAATGAAATAAAGATGATCTCCATAATTATTTTCAAATTTCAATTGAGTTGCAACTTAATTGCGCCATAAGTTGCAACTCAATTGCGCCATTTTTTTCAATTGCGGTGACCATCTTTAGAATGAAATTTATACCTACAGAATTTTTTATCAAAATTAATAATATATAAGTTATAAATATAACTTTGTAATATATATAACAAGTTTTATAATATCAGAAGTATATATAATATTATTACATAAAAGTAATACCAAAGAAATTTTTAATAAAAACATTATAGATTTAAATAATGTATCTAACAAATTCAAAATACTTATCAAAATTAAAGAAATATTAATATTATAAGTTTTTATAAAAATAATAGTATATTATCTTTAAGAAGGATAAAACAGATATTATAAACTTTTTTCTAAACATATAAGGCTTTATAAATTAGCTTTATTATTATAATGTTTTTGTTATATAATAGCAATCATCAAATAATCAAAGATTTTATAGTACAGAAAGATAACATTAGTAATATTATATTATGATTAAAAGAAAAATTCTTATTATATTTATATAATAATAGACAGAAAAATTCTTAATTCCTTATTGGTAAATGGAACTGTTATTAATATGCTTTTAAAACTTCAGAATAAATTAGTAAATAAGAATATAGATAATATTGAAAACAAAGATAAAGCAATTTGAGAATGTTTGTTTCATTATAACTACTAAAACATTAAAAAGATGTTATAAACAAACTCTAAATTGAATACAGCTCGATTTTATCACATAATGCAATTTAGTATACTTTAATATTATTATTACTAAACCTTTATTATAATTTTTAAATTATCTAATGTATTTCCTAAACTATTAAAGAATGAGAAACATATTAAATTCTTGACAAACAGTAAAGCTATTCTACCTATTGGATTTTCTTCCAATATCTCATTATGTAAAAAAAAAAAAATAGTTCATTTTTTTTCAAATAAACGTGTCTAACACGTGTTTAACTACAAATTCATTATTATGATCGGTGGCCTGGCAAAATTATTATTATTTTTTTTTTTTTTTATAATATTACTGTTACAAAACTTTTTTTGAATAATGGACAATTGGACGGACGCATACGCAATTGTCCAATTGTCCTGAGTCAATTGGAATGAGACCAATTACAACATTCGCTGTGCTATATTAGAAGAACTGTATTGTAATAATATTGCTCGAGATATATTGGACAAGTGTGATAATCTTGGGACTCCATATAAGACAAAATCGTTGAATATCACGCATGTATATTATAAAATGTAATACATAATAAAAAATTTTAACAATTGCACGGACTAAGAACAGGATTTTTCAGAAAGATTTATAAAAAAAAACTTGAGGCAGTGGTTCCAGTTTTCGTAAAAAAAAAATTTCGATTATCTGACTAAAATAATCACATTTATTAATATAATCAATATACTAGAAATACATAAAGTGCAAAAGACATTTTAAGAATAAACCGGACCATTTTATCCGTAATAAAAACTTAAATGCTATATCATATTTTAAGTACCCAGGTTTACCAGCAACCCTATGACGTGTTATATTAGAATAAAAGAAATCTTCCCAATAATATAAATTAATAAATTGAATTCTAAATAATTGTCTATTGTTCATTTTTTATATAAAGAGAATATTAAATAAAGGAGGTTCCAAAAGAAGAAACATCAAATACAGAAGGGGTAGATTGTGGGAAAGAGATTCCTTGATTCATATGTAACTCCAACACTTTAAAATCAATATAAGCTCGAGAATTTTCATCAAAACGACGAGTATTACTTTGCGTAACAGAAGGTGGAGCGGGAGGAGAAGGATGACTTTGCGTAATAGAAGGCGGAGCGGGAAGAGGATTTTGTTGAATCGATGGTGCGGGTTGTTGCCTATCATCATCATCGTCATTATTATCATTGCTTCTAACAGAAATTCTAGGATACAATCTCATAGTTCCAACCTTTCTAGCTAAATTACAGTAATGTAATTTGATTTCCATAGGTTCTTGCTTCCACAATCTAAACACAATAAAAGTGAGTTGATTGATTTTCAAGCAACCAAATTGTTTTTTAATTATGTTATGATATGCTTTTCTATAAATGATAAATCCATTAAGAGGTTTATTATTTGAAATAATCAATTCCCTTAAAGAAGAAGTGTAAGGGTATGGGGGACGATGTTGTAATAATTTCGAATTTGATGGCATGTTTTGTGTTTTGTTATTTATTTTTCTTTAGGGGGAAAAGTTATAAAATAGAATTATGTAGTTTTTTACCTTGATTAAGTGAGGAAGAAAAGACAAAAATCCATCTTTTTATAATAAATTTTGACACGCGCCACAGTATATTAAAGAGCATTCGTTTATTTATTTATTTATTTGTGTCAAGCATTTTATCTATGCCTACTAAATTAAGTAATTTCCCCAGATTATGCAGTCTAATGACGATAAGATGTAGATCCGGGTGGTTACGAAGTTTTTTTTTTTTTTTCGTTGAAAAAATATGATTCAATAATACCCTAATAAAAGAACTCGGTTTCTAAAGGATAACATGAGTACTTCCAAAAAGAGAAAAAGAAAAAAAAAAAAAGAAATTCCGCTCTTTCAAATCGAGATATCTCAAATATAAATTAATATTTGCATAATCTGGGGTAGATAGAACCTTTGGCGCAGGATATGCATGTGCATAAATTTTTTGTCCCTGATAAGAGAAAATGGCGAAAATTATTTAATAAATTGATGTCCTCTTGTATAGTGAATTCTTTTGATATATTCAAAAAAAATTATTTTTAACATTCGTTAGATAAAATAGAATTTTACCAATTTGTCTTCCGCACAGTTGACAATATTATGATCCAATCACATATTCACTAAAAAAGGTATAATTTAAAACAAAATAAAACCTTATCTATGTTTACTGCGGCTTCGGAAAAGTATGTAATTCTTCCTCCTATAAATTCTTAAAGATTTGTTGTTCTTTTTGCTCATTAGACGATATGAAAGTGTTGGATATCGTTTGCGGTACATGATAGGAATAATATTTATGCAATTACATACAGTATACGCAAAAGGTGCCGTCATATGGCATGACCTTTATGGTTCACGTGTCGGCGTGCATTCATCGTGAAAATTTCACTTTTTTTTATTGTTCACAAAATAAAAAATTCGGTTATACAAAACATTGATCTACCGGGGGTGACAAAAAATATTGCACGAACGAAAATGAGATATTGAGTAAATTTTCATTAATAACTGAGCCATATTTTATTAGAAACATTTTGGACACCTATTGCATTAATGAAATATTTTTAATTTAATATGTTGCAATTCTTAAAATCGAATTTTAAAAAATCTCTATTTTTTAACATTGCGCATTATATTTTCGTTAAAAGGCTAAAATGCCATTATTACAGCAAAAAAAATTGGGTCCAGCAACTCTGACCTTATGTGGTTACTTGCAGCTTATTAATTAATAATAACATACAAAAAGCTAACAAGCTGATCCTTTAGCGAGAACATATAAAGTGCGAAGAATTGAAAAGTAGAGATTTTTTCAAAATTAGATTTTACACCTATGCATTACTCTAAACTAAACAATGAGCAAAATGTTTCATTAAATAATAGTTAGCTAATATGTTATTAAAAAAATATAGCTCAGTTACTTATTAAAAATTTACAAAATTATCTAATTCTTGACCGTGCAATACTTTTGTCACCCCCCGATACATTAAACTTATTGAGTTAAAAAATTTATTGAACCATATAAAATTATTTTGTCATCGTAAATATTTCGATATATCAAAAATTCTTTATATTAGAAATCCAAACGTATGGTTTAATATGCAATAAGAACTAAATGAATATATATGGTTCCCAATCGTTTTCTCAGATTATAAAAAACTTAAATCTAAAATTAAAAACTCCCCTAATTATTGTTATCAATAAAAATAACAAATTCAATGCGTTGAAAATAATACATAAAAATCATTATTTTTTCCTTGAAAATTCAAACAATTCATGTTCATAAAAAAAAAAAAAATTTTTTTTAAGAATTGTTTTTTGCATTGATCACTTGACTATTTATTGATCAAGTAGCATTTGCTTTATTTTCAACAACTAATGACAATTTTTGTTACTGATGACTTGTCTTTATTCAACTTAACTTTATAACCATTCGATCGTGAATTTTATTGTCAAATTTGATCAATTAGAAAGAAGTGAAATAAAATTTGCTTTAACATATTTAAATTACAAAAACTCGTACTATACATCTTCCTATCAAAGATATCATCAGTGAAATAACCTTTTTACCTAAATTATTCTCTAAAAAGTTTATAAAATGTGAACGTAAATTAGAATTCTATAAGATAAAAAAGTTATTTCATGATTAATGGTTCGGCTGTGATAAATAATGACAGGAATTTTAAAATGTGAAGTAAAATCTTTATTTATATATAAGTCAAATATGTATTCTAAACTTCATTTTGAAAATGTTAAGTAGCAAAAAGGTTGAAATACTTGAAATAATATACCACAAAATTTTTATGTATTTATATAGCCTCTATACATTCAAATTAAAAAAAAAAAAAGATGTTAAATAATACATACAATCAATCAAAAATTTTAATTAATTCTGTAAATAAATAATTGATAATGTTTATAATACAATATATAAAGTTTTTTAAGTAAATTTTTTTAAAAATGTATATTTAGCAAATTTTATAATAATATTTATAACCATTGTTAAGTCAAGTGTAGCGAAAGGGACCAATCAAGTATCGATTCAAATTTTAAGCAGGCGGAAATATGTGTAACCAAAGCACTAAAACATATATAGTCCTTAATACTGCATTTTAATTTCTTTTATAAATTAATTTATTATATAATCAGACTTGTTTATAATCACCACTTTTGGTTTTTAAAAATTATATGATTATAAATAAGATAATTATACTGTAACAGGATTTGATTGACGAACGTGGCGCAGCATATTGCAGATCTAAATGTCAGACATATTTGATACATTTGATATACCGGACATATTTGA